GGTCTTTGCTCTGAATTTTCATTCTTTCTGTCTTAATCTTCAACTCAAACCCTGCTAAATTAGTTTCTCAAGCATTTTAATCTTTCTAAAAGAATATTCTGTTTCTATCTTCTATGCTTAGAAAACAGTAGCTAAATAGTTTGCCAGAGAAGGTATTCCCGTTCTGATTTTCTAACACTGCAGTGAGTCCATTTTAAATGACCATAAATACCTGATCTTTTTCTTTCTGACCATAAATAATACCTGATCTTTTTCTTTCTCTCAGCAAATGGAAACTAGATGTCAGTGACGCACAAAATCCTTAAAACAAAAAAAAAAAAGCCTCTTCAAATGCTGGGGTTTTCCCTCCTTAAATACTCTTTAAAATAGATTACCCAGTCATTCTCTGGGAAAAAAAAAGTACAAAAATAAATTATGTTCTAATAATGTTATTGAAAAAGAACTTTTGTGGGTTTTGATAACTATTAAGTCCAAAGTAGGTTATCATTGTTAATGAGTAATTTTCTAATAATATCTCACTGCATTATTAAAACCTTAACTATGACTCCAAATTTTGTCTATAGAATATACTCCATTACATCACCTGGGGTGCTTAAAGCTTTCTGCTTTCTATTTTCTTTAAACACAATGACCACTTAAAATAGTTTTTATTTCTAAAGTCCTTTTAAACTTTTGATTGAACTGGAGAATATTACATAAATATTTAGTGTAAGATTAAAGAATTTTAGTTTGCCAGTTTGAACACTGAAAGTGCAGCAAGCATTCCTAATCTGTTATTAAAAATAATAATTCAAGTATGTTTAAATAAATCTTCAAGGATTTCCCAATTTTAGTTTCTAACTTAGCCTTTCCAAAAAGCTGTCACAGAAAGGAAAAGTTTTGAAAAGACACAGTGAAAGCTACCAAGGTAAAACACTTTTCAGAAAAATATTATGTTGCATCTCTACCAAACTCACTGTCCATTTCTTCAAGAAAGAAGATTAATTTTCCAGAAATAGCTATTCATGCCTTCTTGAGTGGAATCCTTAATAAAATTATTATTGCTGATGCATCCAACTCAGGCAAAAGTCACAGTCATGAAATGCAAGATATGCTGAAAAAAATCAAAGTCGTTGGAAGCAAATATATATTTGATTCTGGCTCAATGTACAGAAAGGAAGTACTCTTCAAGTTATGAAACTACTAAAAACATTCTTAAAAAACTCAAGTGGTACTTTGTTGGAATATAATTTTGGTTTTGAAAATATCACAGAACATTTATCATGTAAATTAAAAATTAGTTTTGAACTGTATTTAGACTTGTCTTTAGAAGTGAACTGTATGCTTCTAAAAGAAAAAAAGAGAAGACTAGTTACTGAATCCTATATATTGTTGGAATTTAAGTCTCCAGTCACTCACTTCCATTTGTCTGAACTATTTTACATACTTAGAGAATTACAAAGGGTTCTGACTCTGATTTAATGTTTCTGCTTACTGTCATGAGGACAAGACTTGGCAACTAGTCTACAAAAGCAGACTCTGGTCTACCTCAGAAGGAAAGTTTTCATCATTTCCTTCAAACAAAATTCAGAACAACAGATAGAACATAAGGGGTACAATTCAGGAAAATAAAAAAGCATAACATGCAATTTGTTTAGAGTTATTCTTTCAATTTTTGATTTAAACACAGGTAATCATAGGGCTAACATTTTCAGCTGTCAATTAAAAAAAAATAATTGTAACTAACCTAATCATCTAACCAAGTGATCTTCATATCTTGCTAACTGGGAAAATGTGGTAGGTTTCTAGATATTGACAGTGTCAACATATTTTAGGAAACAAAAAAGTGCTGGATTAATACTACATGAAAACTACAGAAACAAGGACATTTTTACTGTCCCTGTCAATAAATAAATCAGTCAGCAGGGTCAGTTTAGATTTGAAGAAAAGGGAATTAAGTGCAAGAGAAACAAGTATGTTATTTCCCATGTGTCTCCTTTTCACTGAGAGCAAATTTATCTAAGCACAGCAGGAAGGTCTTAACTTCTTAAGCTTAGAGGAGAAAATGTGTTACATTTTTTGTTATTTTTTTTTAATTTTCATCTCTTCAAAATACACCAGCTAATGTAATCACCAGATATTTCGCTTATTGGTCAAATCCAACATTGCATACTTAGAGCTATTACATTCTCAAAGCACAAAAAACACATTTCAGAACAGAACCTTGTCCTCATATCTCCCCATCACCATGTTTTGATCCAGTGCTCTCTATACCTTCTAATACATCATCCCAAAGCACCATGTCCATGCACGTCCATCAGATGTTCCTCCTTTCTCTGTCCCCGAAAGCTCCAACCTCTCAATTCAGAGCCCTTCACCTCCCAGTATACTGCCATGAACCTCTCCTTTTCCTGTGCAGCCCCTAATGCTTTGGCACATCAAAACAATCAGTCGCTCATTCACCAGACTGAGATCTCATTCAACAAAAATTCATGGAAAGTCTCCACTGGGAGAAAAAAAAAAAGATGAGCTACAGAAAAGACAATGCATGGCTATCCTAAACATGTGAACGTATTAAATATAATATTTCCAATCAGTACTACTGGCTTCTGTCATCAACTCTTAGCTCATGATGGCAGCAGCCTGATAAACTCAGGTTTCCAGACAACTCTTGGCTTTCTATATACCAAGAGGGTTGAAACAGAGCGAGCTTTTTATTTTTGTGCTCTAGGTCTTGCAGGTCCTCTCTCTCTCCCTGCAGATCAAGCTTCTTGTCTGTCTTCTACAGAAGCTCCTAAAATAAGCACATAGTCTTTGAGGCTTAAAAACATCAATCTATACAGTGCTAAAGTCGTAAGTTGTCTTGATAACCTTTTCGTAACAGAGCCACCAGTTTAGACAAAGTTTGCTGAAATATTTGAAAAGCACTCTAAAAACAAGCAACTGATGGATAGAATGCAAATTAACATTAGTACAACAAAGTTCTTAGCACGAAATATCCACATAATATTAAATTATAAAAGCAGATGTGTAGCATTTTAGCTTTTGAGGAAAAAAACAATAAACATGCATTTTTCTCTGCTAAGACATTTAAACACAGTTTCCCCAGGAAAGCTGTAGTTAGCACAAACCCCTCTGGAAGACTATCTTAATTATTAGGGTAAGCAGAGACAAAAAGAGTGCAGTACAAGAGGCTAGTCATCTGTATATTTACAGATGTATATTACTTGAACATTTATTTGACACCTGCCACCTGGAAGGTCAGAACTATTCCAAAAAGGTGGTCATGTCTCAGAGCTGAAGTGTGGAGATTATATAGCAGCAGATTCCGGTCCTATCCCTTCTCTTCATTTTATTCACCTCAGTGGAAAGCTGTAAACATCATCAGGAAAAACTGTCTTCCTGGTTGACTAACCAGGAAAAGGTGAACAGAAAGCATAAAATAAGTGGCAGAAAACCCACCACACCTATGTTGCAACTCTGTTTATCTAACATGGTAGAGTGTAGTAAAAGCTTAAATACAAACTTCTACTATTAAAAATGAAAAAATAAAGTCTGGGTTGTTTTTTGTTTTAGGTACATCAACACTCTACGGTTTGGGGTTCTTCTGCATGTTTTATTTTTCCATTTATTGGCATGAAAAATTACCTCCTCTTTCAATGCATGCTTCTTCTGCTCCAAACAGATTTCTTTAGCACGCATCAACTGCAGTGTCTCCTTAGAAACTGCATACTGAAGCTTCTCCATACGTTCCACTGCTGCTGCCCATGCTGCCTTACCAAATTTTTTCTGGTCTGCTCGCATTCGGTCATACACAGCTACAGAAGGGAAGAAAGGCAGACAGCTTACCAGTCAACTCTTCAGATCACTTGTGATTCTACTGCAGAGACAATGCACACATTTGTATCCAAAAGCATACAAAGTTCTCTTAGCAGGGAGTAGTCAATTCTATGTAGTACTAACCATCAAAACCAAAATGTAAGTACTTTTGGGATTCATGTAAATATGCAATTAGCATGTTGTTGATTAATTCTAATTTTTGTTACCCTCAGATAACATTCTGAATACACAGTACCTGAACACCTGAACCCTGGTTCAGAATTCTTAACTTAATAAAAATATCTCATTAAAGCTACCATGTGGTCTTAAACTGCATCCCAAATTTTCACTGCTTCTGAAAGCCCCAATGATCAGCTACTAAAGTCTCCAGTTTCCTTTGATAACTTCTATAGTGCAGTCATAAGTTAAAACAAAACTGCAGAATGAAAAAAATTACAATTCAAAACAAAAAATTCAGCTTGACCTCAAGTGCAATTCTGTAAGAATATTGAATTAAATTTAAATAACATCTATCTTTTAACTCAAAATGCAAGTTGCTTCGTAAAATTAATTCAAATTAACTAAACAAATTCTAATCTGATCTTAATATGCAGGGATGAATAAGAATCTTTTCAGGAAGACTTCAAGGTAGCTGGAGTCCCTTGCCTGATTCAGATTTTCTATTCCTGAGCCCCAGAAAACATCTAGGCTCAAACACATGAGTTTTTCACCAGCTTTTATATTTTATATATAGAATAATCACATAGAATCACAGAATGGCTTGGGTTGGAAAGGACCTTAAAGATCATCTAGTTCCAACCCCCTGCCACAGGCAGGGACACCTTCCACTAGACCAGGTTGCTCAAAGCCTCATCCAACCTGGCATCACACGATACCGTACATTTAGCTTTGCAAAGCAAAAGCCACCAATGTTACACAATCAAAGGAACGGCATTCAGTCCTCAGATGCTAGAAGATATTACATGCTCTTGTTAGGTAATAAAAAATAACTTTATTTTCTCATGCGTTTTTCCTCTGCCATCAGTCAGTATTTTGGTATGTTAAGACCACCCTATGATCAGCAGGAGGCCAAAAACCCCAAAACATAACAAAACAGGCAAGGAACCTGTACACCAAAGGTCTCTGGCTATAAATGATCTCCAGGCATTTGATCTCCTAGTGTTTTTCCCTAAAATCCTGACTCCTGTACATAAAAAAAGCATGTGAACAAAACAAAAAGTAAGTGTAAATATATGTTCTTTATCAACTAATGAGTTGTTTTATTTGCTATCTTTGTCATATTAGAAAAGGAACCAAATTGCTTAAATACATTTAGAACTTGCTCTAATTAAATTCATTTCAACGTTCTTGAACTGGTTTAGCCAACTTTTCAAAATAAGGTGGAGTTTCATGTTATACTTAACTTAGGTTGTCACTGAAAGGAATCATTTCGCAGTGACTGCTTCTCTTGAATTAGATCTAGCAGTCATGCAGGGAGATGACAGGAAACCTACCAATCAAATAATATTTTCTCCCAGAGGTACAGTTCATTTATCTAGCTGCGCAGTCACTATCATCAAGGCAAAGAAAGAAATAGGAACCCACAGTCAGGGAAGACAGTGGGACACACCGTCAGCAGTAGCCCACAGTCAAATTAAAAGGTGACATGAAACCACATCTTCAGGTGTGTTTGGCCTAATAAACTGATTATTTAAGTTTAAATCATACAAGGATGAGAGTACAGCTGTACATGGCAAGTCACATGACCCAGTTTTACTGCACCAACTCTTCAGTAAAACTGCCACATCCTTCAAGCATAGAAATGCCAAGGTTATATCCTCAGAGATTTCTGAACAACAGAGCAGCTTCCATCAAGCAGTTCTGAGCAACTGAGCCGTTGCTTAATATTTAGAGCTATGAAAAAAATTACTGAATGGCAGGGGAGACAGGAAAAGGAAATTAACTGAAAGGTAATAAACACTTACTATGATGGTCTGCCAATATCCAGTACAGAAGACAGAATCCAGACACTCTATGTTCCCTAAATCCTTTGCAAATGTACACTACAGCTAATACAATCACATTGAGAAAGTCGTTATGAAACTTTTATCTAAAATTTCTATTCTGCTCACTTCTGATAATATTCTGAAAAGGTTTATAGGTGAAAGATTCAAAGAGACACAGAAGAAAAAAAAACAAATAGGAATGACAACTGCATTCTCCTCGTGGAGGACTGATGAAAAAAACAAATCACAATACAATACAGAACATGGTAAACAAAATAAATTTTTAAGATCTTTTATTTGATGGATAGGATAATAGAAAATAACTACCTTTCTGTGTTTTAGCTGTTATTTCGAAGTATTTAACTGTGAGATCTTGAATAGAGAGCACAGCCATGTGGGCTTTTCTCTGCCAATCGGCATCTTCTTTTTGCAGACTCTCAATTCTTCTGGGGCCTAGGTAGTCATTCTCTATTGAGATCTGAAAATAGATCAGTCCATAATTAACAACACAATTAATTATTGCTATTGTGCCAACAGCAACGAGTTACAGGGCAGCTAAGAAAGAAAGAAAAACAAAAAGGAGAGAAAACTACCAGAAAAAAAACATGGCTTCTATTCTAACATTTTCTTAAATTCATTTTTTGGTCTGGAAGTTCCTCATTTGAACTCAAAGTTCTAGAGTAAGTGTGGTCTAACAGAAAGACTTCTCATCTTACAACTAGATCACATAGCCTAATCTACAGTTTCATTCCTAGTAATCACTTTCTCAAAAAAACACATTTCAACTATTCTTCCTAAAACCCCTATATTCTCTTTGAGATGAATCCAATTCTTATGGTAAAATTGGCCAAGATGATTTTTTTTCCCCCTCTGACAATGAAACTCTCTTTTGAAGACTTTCATGTTTTGCAAGCTTTCCTTTAGATAATGCTTTCAATCTACGAAAGTTACGACAGCTTTCACAAAAGCGGTTGTCAGAAAGCACACAAGAAGAGGTAGAAACAGCAGAAGTCATTAACTTCAACACATCATGGTAAACATCTACTTCCATCAGCTCTTGCTTCAGAGTAAGACAACATAAAAGAACATATTTCTACACTGTATGGATATGTTTCTGAAGAAAAACAATTAGTTCTTCAGAGGAAGCAAACCGAAAGGAGGTCCCTAATGTACCTGTGAGCAAGTGAGAATGAATCACAGGCAAGATTATTCTACTGGAAACATTCTTCTCTGGAAAAGTTCACAGATTGTTGTTGAGTTTTGAAGAGATTAAATTAAGTTTATTGTGAGAAGATACAAGAAACAGGTCTGTAACTATAGGATTTTGTTAAGTTTTATACAGCACACGTCTCCTAAACAAAGAAATAGTCCTCCACTATCTTTAGTACTTTCTAGGTTCTTTCTGAAGACAGCTGGGACGAGAATGGACAAGACTGGCAGAAATACACTTGGGCCATGTCACATTATAGCTTACAGCGGAATCTGTCATGTCTCTCCAGCTCCCCTCATTATCCTTCTCCTAGATTGACTTGTAACAGGCAGAAAAGGAAAAAAACACGAGATGTAACAACAGCAGGCTGACTAATCGTAAAAACGAAAAGAATTAATTTGGGCGAGCACTACATAAGGCAGAAGTAATATACAAAAATGAAACAGTTTCACACATAAAGAGTATTTCAGCTCAAACACTCAGCTACCTTCCTTCGACCCATTCCAGGAGGCCAAACAACCAATTGCATGACAGCCTGCTGGATATACTAGCAACGATGCATGCATTTCAGCATCATCATTGTCCTGGTTTTGGCTGGGACAGAGTTAAGTTTTTCTTTTTAGTAGTTAGAATAGCTCTGAGTTTTGGATTTAGGATGAGATTTCTTATGAGAAGAATATTGACAGTGCACTGATGTCCATAGTTGGTGCTGAGACATCAAGGACCTTACAGCTTCCCATCTTTTGCCAGTGCACAGACACACAGTAAGCTGCCGGGTGCAACGCTTGGACAAAGGGCTCACAACCCCCTTATGATTTGAACTTGGAGATAGGATTGAGAGCCAAATTGGCCAATGGAGTACTCCATATCATGAAATATCATGCCCAGTATATAGATGAGGGCTGACTAGGAAGTTGGAATCTTTATCTCTTCGGGGGGCACTCAGTCTCTTGTCAGACTCTCCCTCTCTTTTCAGGCCCCTCAATCTTCTGGGATCACAGTGTCAGGATTTATCTGTTTCGGGACCACTTGCCAGGCCGGGATGGGCATTTATCACCGGGTGGTGAGCAATTACACTGTGCATCACTTGTTTGTATATATTAGTGTGTGTGTGTGTATACATATATGTATAAAATATAGAGAGATATATATCAATACATAAAATTATTTTTTTAAATTATTTTTTATTCTTATTACTTTTAATTTCATATTGTTATTATTATTAAATTGTTCCTATCTCAACCCACAAGTCTCCTTCCCTTTTTAATTCTCTTCCCCATGTCCCACGGGCAGACAAGGGTGAGTGAGCAGCTGCATGGTGTTTAGTTGCCGGCCAGGTTAAACCACAACAAACCTCATTCAGGGACTTCTCAGTTAGTCTTACAGGTTTTAATTCAACTATGCTCCCAGCTGGTAACACAAATCTAGCGCTATTTCCCAAAACACATTACAATTCCTACATACAGTCCCAAATAATCAGTGAAAACACTCAGTTGTAAAAAGGGCTTTACAGTTTTACTGGTTGTATCCTAACCAATCTTGACATGGACTTTAATGTTAACACATACAAACTAACTTAGATTGGATGGTCTAGATTCCTTAAAATATGTGAAGCCTGGGACTAGCAATACAAACTGCAGGGTTTTGATTATCTTAATCAAGACATAGGAGAACAACATACACACTTTATAAAGACTGCAAAGGAAGCAACTACAAAGAAAACAAGATGTTAGACATACAGAAAGAGGACTAAACAATAATGTCATTGTACTGCAAAGTGCAATGGTGAATGTTTTTCCAGAACTATGGAGAATGCTGAAAAATTAAGTATGCAGAAGAGAAAAATCATAGAAGATTAAGGTTACAGCAAGAGCAAAAGGAATGACTGAGATCGTTCAACTGTTTTGTTTTCCCCCAGATACATAACAGTGTATGCAAAGGAGCATTAAAACCACTAAGTTAAAGTATTTTGTACTATCAATTGAAAGAACTAAGGCTAAATTATGCATCCTGAGTTATGCCTGCCTTATTTATCCACATATATATCATAAAACTTTTATTTACATTTCAGCTTCATTGATGGAGCTCCAGGCTACGAAAAAGTTCACCTTCAAAAAGAAAGCTTTATTAAAAAAAGGATTTTTTTTTTTTTAATAAGACATATTCTACTAGTTATTTGAAAACTTTCTTTAAGAAAGTGAGCTCGAGTGTTAAAGCAAGTGGGCTTGAGTGTTTCTGGATGTTCCAGATTCTGTTTGTGGATGAAAAGGATTGGACGGATTTGTTAATCTTCAGTTAAAAAAAGCTTAATATATACAATAGACAATGCTAAGCAAGTCCATCAAGAATTCATCAAAATATGACTATTTTTACATATAGATATACTGAAAAAGGGAAAATAGTAAGAAATAATTCAATATTTTCTTCCCCTTATCATTGATGATTTATAGATCTCTTTCTTATCTTATGTGAATCACGTGCTTTCCAAACTAAGGCAATCTGATTCATTGACACTCCTTACATTGAGGCTGTTGCAGGGAAATATCCTTACTGTCTTCACAGCCATCCTGTAACTATTCTGATCCTAAAGTATGTTTTTGAGAGAGAGAAACTAAAACTGCAGCATTCAAGATGCACATATACCATGGATACATACAAAGGTGTGGTGTTTCCTATTTCGCTTTGTTTTTTTCCCCCAAACAGTTAAAAACCTTTCTTTCCTCTTTCAAAATGCTGAATGGCAAGCTATTTTCAGAGAACTCAAGATTTAATTCTCATACCTCTTTCCTCAGGAGTAACAATTAATTAAGTGCACACAAATGTGCATGTATACTTTTAGAGGCTGTCATCACCATTCTGCACATGCATCACTTTTAATTTATTGACAATTTCACCTACCTTTTTATTACCCATCCCAGCCTTTTGTAAGGGAACATTTGGAAAAAAAAAACACAAAAAAAGGAAACCAAACAAACCTTCTGCCATTCAAACATAATCTGATTTTTCTGCAATTCTTATTAAGCAGTTTTAGATTTGAACATCCAGAGCTGTTTTGTACTCTACTCTCCTTGCACACAGCCAGATTGAAGTGACCAGATACACACCACAGTTTTGTGGTCAACGATCTCATTCCGAGAGTTCCGTTTCCTCACTGATTCAGACTACCAGCCTGCCTTCCATTAGACCACCTGTTTAGAGCATTATTTTTTCAGAAAGCACGTAAACCCATGACTTTAAGTTGGCAAAATGTTTTACCATTAGTTCATGTAATAAATCTGAAGGATTTACAGTTCAGAATGTGAACAGAGACTGGCATATAACTCTTCTGAAATAGACTTTGAGATATAAATACTATCACAGTGTAATTCAGCATATTATATCAGTTTCTCAAACAAGAAAGCAATCTTTTCAACAAAGTTTATGACTTTCATTTGCAAATCCAGCCATTTCTTTCCTACTCTACTTTGGTTTTTCCAGCCAAATTTATTTAACTATTATTTCTAATGATGTGAGGACACATCTTCAACTACTGATACACTAGAAGAGATTTAAGAATTCCTTGAAGTGTTTCACTCTCTCCACTGAGTACTACTTTAGGGTTTTTTTACCAGGTGTTTTTCATTAACTTCTTGTCAGCAAGTCACTAGTCTGTCACTGCTGGAGGGTGTGGTTCACAAACTGAGAGGAATGAAATTGATCTGACTGCCATGCAAGTAATTGTACATTTTAATCAGTTCTGCTTTAGTGTTCCCCAACATGCCTTGTTTTACGCATGTTTTTCACCGCAAGACCACCATGCACTCCAAAATATTATGAGACTTAAAAAAAAAAATAAAAATACGCAATTCGAAAACTATCTAAGACATCAGTTATTCAAGAGTCAATGACAAAAACATGGATTTAGTAATACAGAACCCATCCATTTGATGTATGGGAGCAACACTACAAATTAGGAGTGTTTCCTTCCACAAAACATCTTCAGTTGACTGTGAGAGTTTTTTTAAAAGTATTCTCTCTAAAGTTTTCTTTTTAAGTAATTCTATTTTGCTAGCTATCCTCATCATTAAAACTTATCTTCTGCTTTGAACTTGTTTCATACTTTGTAAAAATATTTTAACCAAAAGTTAAAACGCTCAATGCAACATAATTTATTTCTAAGTATTCCATTTTACACAAATCAAAGTCAAATTAGTTATAAGGTTCACTACTGCAATTCACCATCAAGTATTAAACCAACAAATAAATCCGCACACAGTTGAGCCAGAATT